TTTATTTGTGATGTTTGTAGCAAACTTTTTGTAAAACAAAATTCATGTCATCAAATTGATCAATGATTTCTTTTCTGGAGAAATTATATCCTTATAAGTGAACTTTATTCATTTCATCTCTCTTGTTAACTTGCTATCACTTTTCACAGAATAGTGTTTACTTTCTTTATAATGACATTTCAGGCTTGTTTAAATGATCTTATTCCTACTTAGGGAGCTCTGGTGGCCTAGTTCATGGGGAGCTGTGCTGCTCACCTCAAGGCTGTGTGCCTCTGGGGGTTCAAATCCACCAGTGGCTCTGAGGAAGATGGAGAGTCTCTTCCTGTGTGATTTAGTCTTAGAAAACCAGTGGAGAGTCAGTTCCAGCTTTAAAGTAACAGTGAACAAAGGAGTGACTGCCCTCTTTTCATTCTACAGAGGACATCTGATTTCTTATCTAACTTATTTGCATGTAGGTGAGAGAAAGATACAAAAGGCAAGGCCTACAAAAAAGGGAGACTTGGTGGCCCAGGTAGGAAGTTGCACTGCCAACTCAAAAGGAAGCAGTTTGAATCCGCCAGCTGTTCTGAGGGAGAAAGATGGTCAGTCTTCTTTCAGCCCCTAAATACGTGCTATAGGGTCAGCTATGAGTCTGTTATAACTTGATAAAAATGAGAGTGATTAAGGAAGAATTCTTCTTCTTCTTATGTGTGTGTGTGTGTGTGTGTGTGTGTACCATCAGATCAGATCTGACTGGTACAGGAGGAGATTGTCTCTCCTTCTCCTGAGGAATAATTTTTATATGCTCATGGCTTTGCATCGTGTCAAACTGATAGTAAGTACTGGGATAATTCAATTGGTAAGATGAATGAGGTAATCAAAGAACAGTAGTTCAAAAACAATAGGAAAACATGACCAATATGCTACCTCATATCCTTATAATTCAAGAGGACAGAATAATATACTCATTCTTTTTTGTATAATCCCATAATTTCACACCCTCTGTAACTGTCTGAGAGGAGCCTTGAGGACATAGTTGTTAAGTACTTGGCTGCTAACTAAAAAGATTTGAAGTTACCTGTCATTCAAAGGGAGAAAAAAGTATCCGTCTACTTCTATTGACATGTATTGCCTAGAAACCCTGCTGGCAGTTCTGTTCTGTACAGTAGAGTCTCTGTGAGTCAGAATCCACTTGATGGCAGCAGGCTTTATAGCTGCTTGAAATATAATTCTAAATAGGTTTCTTGACAAAGAAGGCCACAATGAAAATATTCATATGCCATTCTCTTCACAGCTGTGTGGCCAGGTGAATAGGTTCTGAACTATGGAATTAGAGACAATCAGTACAATTTGTTCTTATTGTGGTTGTTTACCAGCTTTTCAGAGGCCATCAACTTCTTGGGAGGATATTACCCATGTTTCAAATGTGGACCAGTTACCAGATTTGAACTGGGTTGACAATGAACCCCTTTTCATTGGGCCACGAGTATGAAGCCTCCCTCAGTACAGTTTACACTCTTAAGAGGAAAGAAGCATGTCTTTTCCCTCACTTTTCCTCTTTCCAGCTGGCATAAATGGGAATGTGGGAACAGGAGCTGAAGAAGCAATCCTACAAGCAAAGCTGGAAGGTCTGAATGGAAAGGAGACAGGCAGCAGATTAGGAGCAGTCAGGATTTTGTCCACTGTTTCAGTCCCAGGTTGCTATTTCTTGGGCTGTTCCCTGAGAGAAAAATCAACCTTTGCCTTGTTTAAGCCACTCTTATTTTGGCCTTTGTAACAAAAGTAAACTTTGAATTCTAACTAGTTAATTCAGTGCCCTGGGGGTCTTGCTTCTCACCCACAGGATCCTTCCCTGTCATTCCTTTATAACAAGTAGATAACAGGAAATTAGGAGGGAGCTCTTGTGGCCTAGTGGCAAGAAGCTACACTACAATCCCAGAGGCGCGTGGTTTGAAGGAGGGACAATTTCAGCCTGTACCAGTCAGATCTGATTTAACGGTACACACACACACACACACACATCATAATAATAATAGTAGTATTAATAATAATAATTTTTAAAGATTCTTAAAAAAGAAAGAAATTAGGGATTTAGACATATGGAAGGTTTGGATCAGAAAAATGATAACAATAATACTGAATTGAAGGAGGCGTTAGAGAACAAGAGATCACCATTGAGGAATGAGAACTGAAGGCTGCTTTTCATGATCATGATATGGAATCACTTGGGAATGTTTTCAAGAGCAGATAGGGATGCGTGGCAAAAGAGCATCCCCAGAAGCAAATGAGAGGGAAATGGCACAAAGTAATACAAGGAAACACACACTGAAAGAGTAGGCTGGGATCTAGTTTGAGGCACTAATTTAACGGACCTAAAGCTTGTGATTGTCAAAATAAAGCAGTCAGAAATACCTACACAAAGGGGTAAGGGATGGGCAAAGATACAGTCCTGGACCTACAGGCCTAAAATGGACCCTGGGCTCCTATTCCAAGTACCTGTTTACTATTAATCTCTCATCCCCTTAGACTCTTACAGAGCCTCCTGCCTCTCTAACCTTGGCCTAAACTGCTATGTAAATAAAATTAACAGCTTTAATCTCCATAACAATTCAACAGAAGTAGATAGTAGCAGTAGAGATGGAACTAGGGTCCATAGGATCCAAATACAAAACTGGAATAAGACAAAGAACTCCCATGAAACTAGATTTTTTTTCCTTCCTTGGACCCCTATCTTTCCTTTACTCCTTTCCAAAACATGCATAAACAGGTCGACTTAAGAAAACCCTGTCCAGTTGGCCCTATTCCAAGACAAGGGTACAGCTGGGCTGAAGGGCCACATGTTGAAGTTATTAATATGCCTATGCCCTTCTCTCCCACTGAGTTCACTGATCAAAGGCCCTGCCAGAGCAGCAATGGATAGCTTCGCATAATGGGAACTGAAATTCTACTTAAGAAACTGGCTTTGCCAAAACACACTACCTTTTAAAGTGAAACATTCCATGCACATATTAACCTGATTACAGAAAGGAAGGGGGATCTTTTTTCCTTCTGTACCCTGCTAATAATTTTCTGTCAAGTCTGATTTGGCTTTAGCTGCACTCCAAGTTCTTGTGATGTGCCCTGTTCACCAGTAAACTAAAAACAGAAGGTGCTGCACAAACTCTGAGGCAGGATAACCCGTCCAAGGATGTAGACACTGCAGAATTGAGTTCCCTGACAGCAGGGAAGGCCAGGGACTTTTCCTGTCTCTGACAACCAGCAGCCTGCCTCTGATTCACAGTCTGTCAAGGAAACATATGGAGAAAATGGTGGAAATAATTAAAGGTTCTTGGAGTTAACAGAAGCATTGACTCATTACACGGGGGCCCCTGCCTCAAAAGGGGGTAAGCCATTGTGCTTATTAGAGAGAAGAACAAACGGTAACAAACCGTTTAAAAGTCCCAATCAGTTCCAGCTTCATGCTGGAGAGTTAGGTTGAAGATCTGGTTAGGTGAGAAAAAAAAGAAAACAAACCAGATTTTTAAAAGCAATGTTGATAAACAGAAATACTAAAGGCTTATTAGTGCATTCCAGGATCTTTTGGTTCTTACACACTTGACTAAAACTTTGGCCTGCAGATAAGGATATCAGGTGATCTAGACTTGCCAAAAATGGGAGCCCAGTCAGGAAATCTGAAAAATGTCACTTTTCTTTGAGAAACATAGATACCCTGTGTTCGAAGATTGTTGTTGTTATGTGCTGTCAAGTTAACTACAACTCATAGTGACCCTATGCTCTGAACTCTGCTCTATCCTTGGCCAATTTCACTGTCCTGACACAACTACCTTCATTATCTCAGTAATTGTGTCAATTCATCTCATCAAAGGTCTTCCTCTCCTGCACTGTCCCTCAACCCTTCCAAACATGGTATCATGGCTACATGCCCAAAATATGTGAGACAGACTCTCAAAAATCCTTGCCTCCAAGGAGCAGCTTGGTTTCACCTTCGCTAGGTCAGACCTGTTAGTTCTCTTGGAAGTTCATGGTTCAACATTCTTCTCCAGCACCACAACTGAAAGGTATTGATTCTTCTTCTACCATCCTTAGTCATTGTCCAGCTCTCTGAAGCATAGCAAGTAATTGCAAAGATCATGGCCTGGATCAGGTGTACCTTAATCTCAAGACTGACATCTTCTCAGTTAACTATAAAAATTTTAGTTTTATACTTGAAGCAGTGAAAATAGAATACACTTATATAATCTTTTTCATTGTCTCCTATTTCTGTTGATTTTCACACATAGATTTAATTTCCTGCTTTCTTGGTTATTTTGTGAATTGGATACTGTTTTTAAAAAATTTATGAAAGAATTATTTTAGATTTTTATTTATTGAATGTGTTTCTCCTAGAGAAGGTTTGCATTTGCTCTGTCAGGCATCTATGGGATTAGAAACTAGACTGTAAATATGAAAAGGGGTATTCTACCTAAGGAAGTGGGCTCTGGTGTATCAAGAAGTATGTGGATGGTACAGGACAGGATACGGTCAGATGTCAGAGGGTCATTCTGGGGTGTGCTTGACTCAGCGGCACCTAACATCACCACCACCAAAACCTGTGAATTCTTGTAACCCTAAAATGGTTCTATTTTATTGTGAGGTGACTCTTACTTAGAATCCCATTTGATTGTAACCCTGGCCCTTTAATTTCCATATGTTGTTGTTAATTGTCATCAAGTCATGTACAATACATAGTGACCCTGTGAACTGACCTGAACCTGTCCAGTCCTGTGACTTCCTCATCATCTCTGACAGACTTGAGTCCATTGGTGCAGTCACTGTTTTAGTCCATCTCCATGAGAGTCTTCCTCTCTTTCACTGACCCTCCAGCTTTCCAAGCCTGATGTCCCTTTCTGAGGAAACTTCTAGCAACATGCATTAAAAAGTACATGAGTCTGGGTTCCACCCCGTGCTCGGGGGAGGCAGGCTGGGATCAGCCTGGCAGTGGCTGTGGGCCTTGTCTCTTCCTCACCCTGCCCGCTGACATCATGCTCCAGTTCCTGCTTGGATTTACTTTTGGAAACATCATTGGAATGTACTTGGCTCAGAACTGCAAGATACCAAACCTGGCCAGAAAGCTTGAGGACATCAAGAAGGACTTGGATGCCAAGAAGAAGCCACCTAGCTCGTGAGGGCCCTGTGCTGTAGGCCCCTCCACCAGAGCCTACTCACCCTCGAACCAGCGGCATGTGGTCATCGCAGCCTCAGCGAGGTTCCTCTTTGCTGGATCCTGAGTTGCCTTAGAGTAAAAACGGGGCCTCCGAGGGAGAGCTCCGCCACCTCCCCACGTGCTCTCTCCTCACCCTTGTTCCAGCTGATGGGAGAGCGCAAGACTGGATTATGGTGCTAGATAGTAAATATAACCTTCAAATAATAATAATTTTTAAAAAGTACATGAGTCTAAGCTTCACTGTTTTTGCCTCCAGGGAACATTCTGACTGTATTTAATCCAAAATATCTGTTAATTCAGACAGCATGCAATAAATGTTGGGGAGGATGTAGAGCGATAAGAATTCTCATACATTGTTGGTGGGATTGTGAAATGGTACATCCACTCTGAAAGGCAGTTTGATGTTTCCTCAAAAAGCTGAACATGGGTTTTTCTCAGGAGACCTCCTCTACGACCCCCTCGCGAGATCCACTCTAAGACTTAATATAGCAGTCGTCATCATGCCCCCAAGAGCAGGCCTGGACTCCGTCACCCGACACCCCTCTCTAGGCACTCCCCCCTCAACGCAGCCAGCTAGCAGGCCACCCGTGATGTTCTACACCCACGCCAGATTGAGAAATTGTGGTACATTCACATAATGGATGGAATACAATGCAGCACTTAGGAACAGTGATTTGAAAATTATTACATAACTATGAGTCGCAAGCGACTCGATGGCACATAACAAGAAGCATGGGACTAGACAGCATTATGTCGAGTGAACTGGCTGTTTCATAAGGACAAATACTGCATAAGGCCATTATTTGTAGAACTAGAAAGATAACTAGTAAAATGTGTATAAGGATCCAAGACAGGGAGAGTAGGAGCAGAGGGCTAAGGATGGTCAAGGGGGCAATCATAGGGTAACACAATTTAATGGCTAGAGGGAGGAGAGGATAAAGGAAATTGGAAAGGTCCAGAAGGGATCTGGAAAGACATGGTGGTAACATCTGGTGGGCGTAGTTCAATGTTGATTAATTCTATAAAATATAATGAATGGAAGCTCTCCTGAAAATTATCCCAAAATGACTGGAACTGCACATCAACAGAGAACTGCCAGATGTGCAGGCTGAGTTCAGAAGAGGCCTTGGTATTAGGGGTGTTATAGCTAATGTTAGGTGGATCTTGGCTGAAAGCAAGGGAGTACCAGAGGAATGTCTAGTCTGTGTTTCATTGATTATGCAAAGGCTTTTGACTGTGTGGATCACAACAAACTGTGGCTAATTGAGAAAAATGGGATTCCCAGAACACTTGATTGTGCTTATGTGAAACCTGTGCTGGGACCACGAGGCAGTTGTCGGAACAGAGCAAGGAAACACTGCATGGTCCAAAATTGGGAAGGTTTATGCCAGGAATGCATCCTATCTCTATACCTTTTCAATCTGTATGCAGAACAGATCATCTGGAAACTGGGTTCTATGAGGAGGAATGTGGCATCAGAATTGGAAGAAGACTCATTAGCAACCGGTATTATGCAGTGACACAACTTTGCTTGCTGAAACTGAGGAAAATCAAGGACTGCAGCCTTCAAATATGAACTGAAGCTCAACATCAAGAAAACAAAGATTCTCACCCTGTAGCCGATTGGCAGCATCATGATCGATGGTGAAGAGATTGAGATTGTTAACAGCTTCAATTTGCTTGGCTCCACAATCTTGGTATCAGCAGCCAGGAAATCAAAACATGAAATGCATTGGGAAAATCTGCTGTTGGGACCTCTCTGGAGTACTGAAGAGCGACAGTGTCAGTCTGGAGCCCAAAGTGCACCTGATCCAGGCCAGGGTCTTCACAATTACTTGCTATGCATCAGAAAGCTGGACAGTGACTAGGGATAGAAGGAGGAGAATTGATGCCTTTGAATTCTGGTGATGGAGAAGAGTATTGACTATATCATGGACTGCTAGGCTGGGCTCTATGAGGAGCCTGAAGAGGGTGAATCCCGACTGCTCCTTGGATGTAAAGATTTTGAGGCTTTGTCTGACATATTTGGACATGCTGCAAGGAGGGACCAGTCCTTGGAGAGGGCCATCATGCTTGCGAAGGTGGAGGGACAGCTCAAGAGGAGACCCTGGATGAGATGGATTGACTCAGTGACTGGGATAATGGGGGTAGGTGTGTCTTAAGGTTGGTTCAGGATAGAGCAGGGGTTCAGAGCTTTTGTGCATAAGGGTCACTATGAGTCGCAAGCAACTTGACAGCACATAACAACAATGAATGGAAATGATTGTGTGAAACAAAATGTATACAAATTTTATAAACAATCCAATATTAAATGAAAATTTATTTAAATAAATTTGTTCTCTTGGCAGTTCATTAGATATATAGTACTCTTGGCCAACACTAGAGCTCAAAGACATCAATTCTTTTATCATCCGTTTTCATTGTCCAGCTCTCAGATGCGTAACAAGTGATTGAAAAGACAAGGCCTTGAATCAGGAACACCTTAGTCTTCAAACTTACATCATTGCTCTTCAGTAGTTTGGAATAATCTCCATATACTCTTCCTTTAATTATAATTTCTTAATATTATAAGCGTTCTAAAAATAATGAAATTTCTAATTTCCTCAAAGGCAGTATTTTTAAAAATTATTGCTTAAGTTATGTTTTAGCAAGTTCACATTTTTGGTTTTTAAAAACATGATTCAATTTTAATGCATAAATTTTTTTCCCCAGGTGTCTTATTTTAAATAGATTTGCTCAGAGACTGTCTCATGATCTCCATTTTGTTTATTGCATTCTTGTCCTAGAGTTTGTGTTCTCTATTATTTTTATTCGTTTACTTAATTGTAGTGGAGCCAGTTCTGACTCATGATTGCTTTATGTGAGTCAGAGTAGAAAGTAGAAATACATCTGAGAGAGTTTTCAGTGGCTGATTTTTCAAAAGTAGATTACCAGGCCTAACTTCTAACTCTCTTTTCAGCAGGCTCAAACCTTCAACTTTTTGATGAGGAGTTGAGTGCATTAAACCTCTGTACTACCCCATATATAGTTATTGTAGTTATTTATTATATTTAAATGTTTGATCTAAAGAAACTTTCCAAATGATGTATTATTTTTCCATCAGTAATAATTTAATGTACATTTAATTGACATTCTGGGAGTGAGATATTATTTATATATAAAAATTAGCAGCCTCAGCCTGTTAGGGCTTTGAGTCATAAAAGATAGGAGGTGATTTCAATGTGACCTAGACTCCAGATTCTTTTAGTGGTGGGTTTTTGCTTCCTTGTGCTTGGATTATGGGCTTGAGTATCAGAGGGCTTTTACAGTGTTTCTGTTCTTTTAATTTGTAGCTGCTCTTCCATAGCTAAGCCATGGACCAAGCCTTTCTCCATAATCTTCCTGTGTGTATAACTCAGAATTAGTTCCATGGTGGAGCCAGAAAGATTCACTGTTGTTATAGGTAGGACCTAGGCCTGCTTTTGTAATGATGTTTGCTTCTCCTAGTTTTGAGCTGGAGTTTTCTACTCAGTGGTAATTGACATCCTGGTATGGCATAGGATTCTGGACTCAAGGTTTGGTTTTGGTTGTTTGCCCTATTCTAAATCGTAAGGATCTTTTGCCAGTGACCTGGGACAACAAAGTTCATTTGGCTCACAACAGCTTTAATGTTTTTTCTTTGTGAAAAAGAATAGTCTAAGGAAATATATGTACCATACTGCCTCTTTCCCAGCAGCACCTGATCATTTCTTTTGTGCTGTAGTAACTTACTTAGAGTGGATTTTCTAAGTCATTGCCTTTTGTTAACTTTCACCACATGGCTAAGTTGTTGTTAGGTGTCAAGAAGTTGAGTGCCAACCATAGCAACCGTATGAACAGTTCTGAACCCTATCCTGTCCTTTTGTCATCCTCACACGTCTTGAACACTAGAGCCTGCTGTAGCAGTCTCCGTGTCAAGCTACCTGGTCGAGGGTCTTCGTCTCTTTCACTCCCTCTGCCTTTCCAAGAAACATGTCCCACTTCAAGGGATAGCCCCTCCTAGCAACATGCCTAATGAATGTGAGGGACAGTTTTATCATCCTTGCCTCCAAGAAGCATTCTGGCTGTACTTTCTACATTTGTTTGTTGTTTTGGCAGACCATGGGATGTTCTGTACCCTTCTTCAACACCACAGCTTGAAGGTGTCAATTCTTTGATCATCCTTATCCATTGTCCAGCTCTCAGATGTATAGTAAGTGATTTGAAAGACCATGGCTTGAATCAGATGCACCCGAGTCCTCAAACTGACACAATGTACATCCACCATGATGTTGCCTATTGGTCCAGCGGTAAGAATCTTTGTTTTCTTGACGTTAAGATGCAATCCCTATTGAAGGCTGTATTCTTTGATCTTCTGCAGCATATGCTTCAAGTCATCCTCACTTACAGCGAGCAAGGTTGTGTCATCTGAATAATACAGGATATTCATGAGTTGTCTTCTGCTCTTGATACCACATTCTTCTTCACAGAGTCCAGCTTTTCAAATTCAGCATGCGGACTGAACAGATATGTCATTTTGAGGACTAAAGTACCAGGTCATGGTCTTCTGAGTCACTTGCTATGCATCTGAAAGCTGGACAGTGAATGAAGATGACAGAATTATTGATGCCTTTGAGCCGTGGTGTTAAAGTACTGAATGTCCCATGGACTGCCAAAACAACAAACAGGTATGTCTTGGATAAAGTATAGGAATGCTTCATGGAGGCAAAAGTCAAAAACTTCATCTCACATACTTTGGGCATGTTTCTAGAAGAAACTATTCCTTGGAAAATGACATCATACTTGAAAAGGTTGAGGATCCGTGAATGAGAGGATGACTAATGGAGTGACACAGTGACTGCAGCAATGGACTTGAGGATATCTGTTTGTGAGGATGGTACAGGAAAGGACAGGGTTCATATCTGTTGCTTATATTGTCACTATGAGTTGTACTTGGGCCATAAC